CACATTCCATATTGCACAACCCCTGATGCTGCATTAATACTGCACTATACAGTAGAGTTCACTATAGTTACAGCTCTAAGATAAAAGCTATTCAGTCTATTTATCCTTGTTTTCATTATCATGTCTGTGTAGAAGAAGCTCTTGAACCCAAGAATTATTCATGTAATACCAAGCTACAGTTAAGGTGCAGACTAGGAACAGATAGGTGCTGGACCATGTTGTATCCTTGCTATTTTGGTCTTAATTAGCATTGTTTTTTTTACCTGCTGCTTCTAACTTTGATTCTTTCTTCTGTCAGCCTAAACAGAAGTTTTCTTGCCCTCGTTCCAATTTACAATGCAAAAACTTGGGTTTCTGACAGATGATCATCCATCTAAAAAATCTGATGTAGATCACTTAGAATCATAGAATTAGAAAGGTCCTTGGAGATCATCTACTCCAGCTCCTGCTCAGTGCAGGATCCACTAAAGCAGGATTCCTCAACCTCAGCAACTTTAAGATGGGTGGACTTCAACTTCCAGAATTCCCCAGCCAGCATTCTGGGAGCTGAAGTCCACCCATCTTAAAGATGCTGAGGTTGAGGAACCCTGCACTAAAGGACCTTGGACAGATGACATCTAGCCTCTGTTAAAAGACCTCTAGCAAAGGACAACTCACCACTTCATGTGGCAGCTATTCCACTGGCTGTCAGGTTACACCTTTGATATATCCAAATGGTTTCCAGTGAAAAGGGTTGAATCAAGCTGAAGTCTGTTTTGCAGTGGTTTATTTACTCTTCTACATGTGTGAGACAACTCTGCTTGCCATGTTCAAGGAATGGAGGAAGATCCCTTTCTAAACCAGTCCTAAGAGAGATCAGTTCCAGGTTACTGCATCTCCTGATTGAGTCAGTTGGTTTGGAAGCACAAGCAGAATGTGCTGGCTTTGCTGAAGTTGTGGGACAAGTGGAGACCTTGAGCTTTGAGCAAGAGAGGAAGGGGATTGTATTCTCCCCTTTTCTTCAACTCTCTTTGAAGGCCACAAGCACATAAAACAGACCCGTCTCCATGGCAGCTGATGAAGGGCCTGTGCTTTGATAAATAGTTTGTTGTGGTTTTTGGAGCGATAAGCCACGTAAAGAAATGTTTGTTGGGGTCTTGGTTTCTCTAGCTTTATCACTGCTGCTGGAAAGGCGCTGACATCATTGCATCTTTATTTCTGCAATTTCATTTGTCTGTGCAGAGATCAGTCCATCAGGAAGCTGTAGATCATTAAGTTGTTGGCAAATTAATCCTGATTTCTTGAAAGGGCCTGAAGCAATGCATCAGGAAAAGCCAAGGAAGAGGGGAAAATAATACTGTTTTCACTCAGAACAAGCCTCTAGTTAGTCTGCCAAAGTGTACAGTAACCTTCATAAGATGCTATTGCAAATAAATATATCTTAATCAGTACTTAATGTAAAGCAACTGGTGTGCTTGTAGCTTGGATTAGCCTTTTGGGATCCTTGAGGCAACTGCCACCTGTTTCTGTCTGTATGTGGAGTTCTTGCCACAAAATTCACCCTCCCACGTTATGTGAAGAGGAGCTGAGTTGGTGACTTTTAATCATCTTCTCTGCTGTTGGGAGAGACAAGCATCATCCATGAACTGAAAAAGATCCTAAAATCTCATGAAGTTTATCCTGAGATGTCATGAAAACTTATGTAAAGAGACCAGAACTCTTATTTGGGGATAAGATTTGGTGATGATGTGAGGTTTTATTTTCATATTTCATTAAGGGGTTACACACCCCAGCATCTGCAACAGGCCATTTTGTGACCTAATATCTGGCAGCCCTCACCAGTAATTCAACTCCACTGGTCTAGGAGGTCTGTGTTACAATTCAGTCCACCTACTCTACGATGGGAGAATAGATTTCATTATCTGCATCATTCATTATCTACTACCAATATTTCATATTGCCCCCCAAATAATTTTGCATTATGAACAAATAAAGCACCCCTTTTCTGATCTTTAAATTCCAGCAAGGGAAGCTTATATATTTTATGCGTATTTCACCAGCAGCACTTTTTGTTTCTCTCTAAAATGAAAAATCAAATCATTCCAGTGAAATGTGTTACACTTGGCACAGTTTCTTTCACAAACAGAGAAGTTGGCATGAAGATTAAATCTGTCACTGCTTTAGCCAAACTGTTGCTATGCAAGTATTTTAATTAAGGCACATACTGCTGAAATATAAACTCTTCTGAAGTGTGATTTGCACGTTTCTACCACAAGATATCTCTCTCTTGCAATGTCTTTTGAGTTTAATAGATTTGATTTTGTTTGGAAGTTTATATTGTATACTCTCTTACCAAAGTTAGAAGCTGGGCCGTTGGTGAGGACGTGGTCTTTTCTGCCCATCCATGTTTAAATAGTTTAGGGAACATTTCATGGGAACAAACTGTTTATAAAGCTCACCCTGTTGGTGCCTTGGTAAACAACTTTTTGTTCTTAGCCATTATTTCTCATATAAAAAGCATTCTTTCAGTAAGTTCTAATGTATTTTATAAATTCCTTTGCTTGCATATAGACCTGTTTAGAACACAGAGTTGCTTATTGTGTGAATTTTGTTCATGTTTTAAAACACACCACTAGAAAAGCGAGGTTCTCACAAGTACAGGTTTGCCATGCTGTCATGGGAACCAAAGCATATGTTGCACATGAAGAAGCATCACCATAAATTGCTTCCCTACAACAAACCCCCCTTCCATTTCCCATGGAATAACTGGTGCCAGAACTGCTGCCATTACATACCTAACTCACTCACCCACTCTCTCTCTCTCTCTCTCTCATGGGGTGGAGAAATGTGTATGATGAAGACAACACTCCATGAATTTGAAGAAGTAAACTGTAGTTCATAAAAGTTTGTGCAACATACGAGTTAGCCTTTAGAACACTTGTACCACAAACTAACACAACCATTTGGAAGCAGAATACAGGTAGTTCTCATTTAGTGATGACAATTGGGACCAGCAACTTGGTCATTAAGCAAAGTCGTCACTAAGTGAAACCATAACTGTACTTATTATCTTACTTCAGCTTTCCTTTGCTTTACAGACCTGCAAAGGTCATAAATGTAAGGACTGGTCATTACTTTTTCATACTGTCATAACTGTCATATGATCACTAAACAAGGAAGTCGCTAAACAAGGACAATCTGTATAAGCATATATTTCTACATAAACCAGATTTTAGATTGCCTCGTTATTGAAGTTAAATATTTTAATTTTTATTTACTTATGTACATAAACCATTTTGGGAGAGCTTCAGCATATAAGATAGCTTAGAAATCGTTGTGATATCTGTTTGGAAAAAGGAATAGGTCTGACAACAGGATATCATTTGGAATGATAGATTTTATTGGGAGTAAAATGTAGTGCTGTACAATTTCAGCATCCTGGCTATCCTTGTATAGATTTATAGTAAAATAATGCAGAGAACCGTATATTTCTTTAGGAAAGAGAGGTAAGTATGCTTTTTCTGTAAGGTTCCAGAGTTCCTATAATCAATGGGTATTTTCAATCTTTTTAATTGTAAGTGTTTGTAACGTTGAAATGTCAAGTATTAGTAGCTTTATTTAATGTGCAGTTATAACTAAGCTCAGAACAGATGTTTCACAATCATTAATGTTTTTGTTTTTTTTAAGTTTTAATATTAAGTTCTTCTTCCAAAGGCCTCCCTTTCCCTTAGACTTTTGTAGGAATATAATCTTTTTCTCCCTGTTTGAAATGTTTGAATGTGGAAGTCTTTAACTCTCCCTAGAATGAATCTCCCTCCTTGGCTATAAACAATGTTGGTGGTCTTAACAGATCATATGACTTAAGTTCTTGATCTTTGTTATAGTGAAAATTACTAGCTGACTGATTTGTTTTCTTTACTGATCTTATTAATGAAACCTTTAGCTGCTCGCCATTATTTCCAAGAGCTTTCAAGAGTACTCATTATAGGGTTGTACTAAGAACATTTATGAGAGTCATATGCTTTAAGCATTTTAGTTATGATTTTTTTATGAGCATCATTCTGATAAGTGGGTCATACTGAGCCTGGGGAAACATAGGTTCAAGTTCTTCCTTGACCCTGAATTGTATTGGGTGACCCTGGGGCATTCAATGATGTCTTGCAGCTTAAGTTCCATCTTACTGTAAGCACATTTCCCTGGGTTCCTGGAATAAAAGTGGGAGATACATATGTTATTGAAGCAAACTCTTTCAAAGGCAAAGACTGACTGTGATCCACCAAAACCTTTTTCTTTTCACCTATTATGGAACTGGCCAGAGACACTGTAATTTCTTTCTTTCAGCTTCCATCTTGCTGCCTCTAAAGGACATGCTGAATGTCTCAGGATTATGATTACACATGGTGCAGATGTAACAGCTCAGGATGGAACAGGTACTGAAACTCTCTGTCTAATGTGAAGTGATATGATGCCTGTGTGACTGCATGGGCATGTTCCCCTTGGCATTCTTTGCTTTTGTGGCATGTAGCTACTGTAGAGAGCAGAGGGAATGGCCTTGACAGACAGGAGGAAGAATCGCTGCCAAGGCAACAGTCACATAAAGGAAACCTGAGCCCAGGGCAGGACTGTTAAACATCTCAGACAGGCCTCTCCCAAATTCACACGAAGTTTGGGGGGGGGGGGGGGCATTCTGACTTACAAGATTCTGTTACCATAACTTTACAATAAAAGTAGTATTGGCCTACGTGACTTAGGTTTCCTAGTCTGGTCTACCTTGAAGGGTTGACATCTATCTTCTCTAGTATGGTGCCCTCCAGGTATGTCGGACTGCAGTTCCTATCATTTTCAGCCAGCCTGCCCCATGTGACTTAAATGCATCTGAATAATCCAAAGTTAAGCCAGGCTGTGGATGTAGCTGAACTGACATTTGGATGCTTAGCACATACATGTGCATTTATGAAGATAACTTCAGCATTCCCAAATCTAGTGCAGCCCAGGTGTGTTGGACTACAGTTCACATTACTGTTGGTTGAACATTTGAGCTTCAGCCAACGCTTCTGGAGAACGCAGGAATGGGAAAGGCTGCATTACGCTAAATCGTTATTCTGTCTTGTGCAAATATTTCTATTCTGATTAATAGCAGCTTTTCAGTGTCTCAGGTTAGGCTCCCCAGAAATGCCATGTTTTACCAGAAATGCCACAAACTGTATCTGGTTATTATTGCATCCTGCTCATGTGTTCTTCCACTGTATTCTGCTCCCTTCCCCCCATCTTTTGTTTTGCTTTGCCTGGAATGTGCAGTAACTTTCAAGGCTTGGGGCTGGGTTACTTATGGGATCATCTCTCCCTGACTGTTTCTGTTGATCCTTTTCAGTCCAGCAGGGGAGGCATGCTCCAGGTCCTGTCTGCTAGGGAGTGTCATTTGGCAGGGCCCAGGAGCAGAACCTTTTCTGGCATGGCACCCGCCCATCCTCGGGAATATCATCTCTCTGGAGATTAGATTGGCCCCAACCCTGCTGGCTTTAAGGCCTTGAGGACTTGGTTCTATGCTTGAGCCTGGGGCCCCAGATGTGTAATGGGGCCCATTTCCTGGTTGTGCTGACTGTATGATGTTTTTGTAATTTTTCTTGGTAGGCTATGTGCTTTATGTGATGTTGTATGTGGCTTTATTATTTTTAATACTGTGAGCCACCAAGAGTCATATAATTGGGATGGACGGCCATATACATCTAATAAAGAAATAAACTAAATGCAGCTTATGATCACTGTGACTGGAATCAACATATCTGTTAGCCAACCAACACTCTACAAATACTGAAATCTGAGTGCAGATTTTCTGCGGCCAAATCATAGCCTGCTCTTTGGTTTAAGTGCTTCAGGATCTCCGAAGCCTATCTCTTTATGACCGATATGTAGAGTTTTAAGCAGGCAAGGGCTTAAACCAAATACAAAATGATGAAGCCACATGGCCTCGCTTCTCCTTTAGTTGTAACGTGTACTTAATTTTGAAAGTAGGAAAAAGAATATTGGCATGCTTGTTGGTTATATTATATTTCATCAGTATGGTTAAGAACGATCCATAAGGATTTTTTGAATCTAAAGAGGCACATGCCCACTTAGTACTTCAAGCCCAGAGTTTGAAGAATTTTCATTTCATTTTTAATACCTTTTTCAGTGGGCCTGAAATAATTCTGAAATATTCACACAGGGCACAGTGCTTTGCATCTTGCGGCCAGGAATAGCCATGCTGACTGCGTCAAGAGACTTCTTCGGGTGAGGTGCTTTATTTCCCTCCCCCCTTCACCGGCACTTCTAATTTCCTGATTAAATGCCAGCCTACGTTAACTTTCTCCCTACAAGTAGCCAGTTAAAGTCCATCTTAAACACTGAATTGTTTTGAGTCCAAGGCTGCGAGCAGGAGATCCTTAGATTATATGGCTGTTTGCCGCTTTCCCTTGCACCACAATTAGTGGTGCCTCCCTGAGATGCCTGCTCCACAATTTCTTCTTGCTCGTATGATCTAGTGGGTACAATTCAAATAAAATGGCATATAATTACGTGTACTGAGAGTGGTAAATTGTTGACCTTTAACATCTGATGAGAATGCTTTGATGTCAGGCTAGAGAGTAACAAAAGCTGCAGTTGCCTAAATAGTTTGTTTGGTGTAGAAGGTGCTAAATATGTTAGTTGAAAATAGGGCTTGTCCAGTTTGTCCACAACCACATCTGATAGCAGAGTTTAAGCAAGGAATCAAGCTCTTCATTTCTGTGTTTGGGAGGAAGAGTCCTGTTGGCTGGATTCAGGTGTAGACCCATGCCATTAGATGCTGGTACACCATTCTCCACTTCCCCCAAAACATTATACTACTACAGAATGAGATGGAGAGGAGGACAGTCTCTAAAAGTCCAGTAGAATTTTCTCCTGTAAATGCAACTCAATTCTCTGTCTCATTTTGTAATACCTCCCCCCCTTTCTAATTCAGTAGGGTCACCATAGTCTTTAGTCAGCATTTTTGGGTAGGACTAGGATACAGGGGTCGTAAAACCATCTACAAAGTTCAGAACTGACTTTGTGCTCAGAAGTTAAGCAGACTTGAACTTGGTTAGTACTCAGATGAGAAATCACCAGGAAATTCCAGTGTTGTAGGCCCAGTCCAATCTAAAAGCACGCTGGAACAAGCCAGTGGCAAAACATGTCTGTATTGCTGCCAAGAATTCTCCATGTATGTGTCTATAAAGTCACCAGGAGTCAAGATTGATTCAAAAGTACCATCTCTATCCAAGAACCCCAACATCATAACTTCATCAAGATGAGACAGCAAAGCTTCTACAAGCATCCAGTTACCACAGTGATAGCACTCCACAGACTGCCCACAATATTTTTTTTTCTTTTTTTTAATATTTTTTTATTTTTACAACAAACACAAAACATACATGGACAAAGACTGCCCACAATATTGTGAACCTATTCAGCCACAAACTCAGCCAACTAGAAGAGTCCTATCCTTTTGACCCACACAAAATACAGTGGTACCTCTACTTACGAATTTTTCGAGATACGATCAAAAATTTACCTCTACTTATGAACTCGCCTCGACTTACGAACCGGATCCGCGGCCATTTTCCGCCTGTTCCACGTGGTCCACGGCCATTTTTCCCCCCATGCCCATGTCCGAAGGGC